AGGTTAATATTAACTGAAAATTAGTTTGCTTTCCCTAGAAAAAAATAATAAGTGATGGCAGAGTCAGGACAAGGCTAGGAGATATGCTGGCTGGTAGGAAAAATAAAAAGAAATTGCCTCAGATATTCCCAGAGTGGGGCCCTATTTGTGCAATCAAAATGAAAATACACAAACAAAAATAACTTTAATGGAATATATTTCCTGAGCCTAGGGCAGTAGGCTACGCTGTCATTCAAGGAAGGAGAGTACATAATAATTTTCAGACACATCATTAATCCTCACCATTATATACATCACACAATTTATATGAATGGAAAGTGATTGATGGAAAAGAAAAGTCTACATTCTCCCCAAGGTTTGGATATTTGGTACTTTTTAGAAGACTAAATTTTTTCAGTTTTCGTCCCAGACGCTTGGGGTCATTAGGTCATATCCCACTTAATTATTTTAATCTTATCTTTCTAGATTTTTAAACTTTCATGTTCATTTCATCATATATATCAGTATACTAAATATCTACTAGATCTAGCGTACTAATTTGGTACACTAGCATACTAATATCTACTGAAGCAGTAGTTCTCAAAGTGTAGATCTTTAGACTAGCATGCAAATTCTTGGCCCCTCCCCAGACCCACAGATCAAAAACCCTGAGAGTGGGTCTCAGTAATCTGTTTTAACAGGCCCCCTGGGTGATTCTGATACCACTTGCTCTAAACTAACACCTAAAATTCCAGTCTGTAGGGTAGAGCTAATTCTGTAAAGGCTTCTGAACACTAGATCATTTGAGACACTAACCTGCACATCTATTTTTTGTTTGGGGTGTCTTTTTTCCTCTCATTCCCAGAAAGTAGCCAGGCTTGGGTGCCCCTCACTCTAGGCGTGCTTTTGTCACTGGGCTGAAAGCAAAAGCTGCCTGAAGACAAGACTCCCCTAACTTTTGTTTCTGGAAGCGTGAAGACCTGTTGGCGGTTGGTCCCGAGAGTGGAGGGACCAGCATGCTGCTCCCATCTGGTGTCTGGTAGAGGCAGCAGGGCCTCAGAAAGGAAAGTCTGAGTCCAACACCCAAGGGGACCAGATACTGGGCAAGGACGCTTAACCTGGGCAAGGACTTGGTGCTCAAGTTTACAGGGCAGGGGTGGGCCACTGTTTTCAAATTGGTAGTGAGCATCTCTGACTCGTGTGCCTCCCACACAACACCTGGATTCTGAGCATCTCCGGAGCACAGGTA